CCATGTATCTCTCTCTGACCGATAAATCCAACGCCGCGTCGTTGATCACCCTGCGCGGTCCATCTTTCTCCGTCCCGAAAGCCTCTGGCTTTGTCCCGCTGGGAGTTGAGGCGAATGAACCGAACGCGCAAGAGCTCGTAAACGCCGTGGACAGATTCTACGACTCTTTAAACATCGGTAGCAGCGGCGAGAGCGACCCCGGGGTGATCTTCGCGGGCGCAGGCGAGCCTTTATTGAGAAAACACGTCCTCCTTGAGGCGGTGCGGGAGATTCGCGAGCGCAGACACGGCGCGCGCCTGAGAGTTTCCACAAATGGTTTACACGACCTGGAAACGTGCGATGAATTGTTTAACGCGGGTTTGCGGGAGGTTTCCGTGTACGTGGCGAGTGCGAATCCGGAGGAGTACACGCGACTCATGGCGCCAACCGACGGACGTGGGCTCGGCGACGCGTTGCAGTTCGTGGAGCGCTGCTCTTCAAACGGGATAGAGGTGGAGGTGACGTGCTCCAAGGCCCCCGGGGTAGACTTGGGGGCGGTACGAGAGGTGGCGATGGCGTGCGGGGCTGTGAAATTTCGCGAGCGCGAATATTTTCAGTGATGATATGAAGTGTACCGGTACATTTCTAGTTGAAGCGCGATTTTTTCGGCGCTGGGGTTCCCCAAGCGATGCGTCTCGGCGTGTGTAACTGCGCTCGCGCGGGCGTGGGTACCCCGTTCGCAAGTCCTGACCCGAGCGCGCCGATCGGCGTGTCGGCAACGATTCCTGGACGCGCACGCATCGCGGGCGTTTCGCCGATGACTTGGCCCACCCTTGGCGTCGATCGCACCACCACAGGCTTTCCGGATACGTTACGACTGATTCCTCCTCCCGACGAGCGCGGTGCCGTCTGCGGTTGTTTCATGAACCCGTTTTTCACTCGCACAGGCACCGCAACCTCGCGACGCTGACTGTTGCTCCTGGCAAAATGGTGCCACGTCGGCGGTTTCGGCGGCGGCATCGACGGCGCCCTGTATACGAGCTCCTGTGGCGGAGGTTTCAGCTTCCGCGGTGAGCGCCTGATATTCGCGATCGGTCCAGGAGAAAATGGCGTGAGCGCGACCGCGTTCGCGTCTCGTAGTTCAGGCATCGGCTCGGTCGAGACACCGAGCTCCTGCTGCAGCAAACGCAACACTTCGGGAAGCGCATCGTAATTGGGCACAAACTCTGCCTCCACGAGCGCGCGCACACCCTCGGGCCCGGAGGGCGTGAGTATGAATCGAAT